GTGTTGTATTTTCAGATGAGCAGATGTCAACACAAAGTTACAAGGAAGATGAATAAAAAGGTAAATGGGGGAACTGGAGAGATGGCTCAGTCCTAACTGGAAAAGCTCCAAAGATAAAGGGGAAAGCAGCGTATTGAGTGAAATGAGAACTCAGACTGTCAGGGCGTTTCTCCACAGCACCCATGCTGGGCAACAGGAAGTGTGCCAACATGTGCAGGTAGAGAGGCCAACAGTCAAGACAGAGGCCGCAGAACGATCTTTCAGAACTAAGGGAGACAGCAGAGGTTCTCAAGACCAACGAGAGCCAAGTGTATCCGTTTGCAACAGAGCTGCACTGGAAGATGGAGGGGGGGGGGAAGAAGAGTGCTTCCTCTCCACTTGCGAAGGACCCGTCCAGGAGGAGGCTTTGGTGACTGTGATGGTAAAGTAAGGGCTGGAAGCCATGTTCGGCTGTAGTGTCCGGGAATACACAGAGAAAGCAGCAGAGGCCATCCAATGGTTGTATTTCTGGAACACTCACTTTCCACAGGAGCCATTCTCAGTGCTTTGTGTCCCCGGTGTCCCAAGAGCCTTGTTTGGAGGTAAAATTATGGTCTTTTTCATTTGGAGAAAAAAGCCTAGCTAAATAATAATTTATTTAAGATCCCATAGCTCATAAGGGATGGACTGTTGATTGGGACTTTGGTAGTTAGACCTGTAGGAAATTTCTTATAAGAGAAGTAGCCAGTGCTGGCAGCTGTCAGTTTCTAGGCTTGACAATTTTATACTTGTAGGTTCTATGCAATTTACCGTAAAAACCTCTCCACCTTTTTGCATGAATTAACAAATGAATAATTTGTTCTTTGAACAAAAAGAGCTTTGAAGTCATCAGGCCCTGAGCTTTTCTTTGACAGGAGATAGGTATGAGTGTTTTTGTTTTGTTTTAATTTCTCTAGAGACCTTTGTTTTATAAAGAAAATCCTAAATTGTCATTTAAGGCTTTTTCTAGCCCTAGTATTGTGTTTTTCCTTTAGTTAAACATAGTATTTTCTCATACAACATAATCTGCAGTTTCCCTCCTTCTACTTCTCGAAGTTCCGCCCCTCTTCCTCTCTCATCTCGATCCACTTCCTTTCTGTCTATCATTAGAAAAGAACGGGTTCCTAACACATCACCAAGCATGACAAAATACAATATAACATGATAAAAACAAAACCCATCATATTGTAGTTGGACAAGAAAAGCCAACAGAAAAATAAGAGCCCAAGAGAAGGCACGAAAAATAGAGACCCTCTTATTTACACACTCAGGACTCCCCTAGAACTACCACACTGAAAGCTCCAATACGCACGAAGGGTGCAGACCCATCTCAGCTCTCTGTGAGCCGCTTCAGTCTCTGAGTTCGCAGGCGCTCTGCTCAGTTGACTTAGATGGACATGTTCAGTGTCCTCTATCCCTTTGGTCTCCCCACTTCTGTCTCCTCTTCTGGGGGTTCCCTGAGCATGCAGATGAAAGACCTTCCAACACCCCCGCCCTGGCCAATGGCACATGTCCACACAACCTTGCCCCAGAAACCATGGCCACTTCCCCAGGGGCATAAACGTCCCCTTTCCCCCAATAAACTTAACCAGTTCTCTGGAAGCTGTTGCCGGCCTGCTCATTGCCCGCACGCTCACCTGCGCCTGGGTTAGCTTCCCTCCCTCCAATCCAGCTCAGACAGGCCCGGCTACCCCAGGCTCAGTTCCAGCGGCTGAAGCAATTAGTGGCTACAGCAAGGATTATGAGGATTATTAGAGCGTGAAGCATTTCTGTCTACTGGAACCTATGAGCACAAAGTCCTAAGTCCATTCACTATGTATTCGTGAAGTTACTGAACGTGGCCACTGTCGTTTTTCTGCTGATGTTTCTGACAGTTTGATGCTAGATGCAGTCTGACTCACTTCTGTTCGATAATTCATTCCGCTTTTGCATCAGTGCAGCTATTCTACATTAAGTGAGTTATTTCACCTCTCTAGCCACTGGTTCCTCAAATGTATGAAGTAATTTTATGTAAATCAGTTTCTCAAACCCTTTCTTCATGTATTCGGATATTGCCGACCTTCTCTTACGAGCCGTAGAAAACAGTACCGGCCCAAGAATGTCTACAAACTCTCCTTTTATTCCAGCTTCAGAAGAGGGTATACACATTCGTGGGTGGATCAGGAGCAGCGGATCTGGACCGCTTCTTTCATCCAGACAGAACTCAGGCTCTGGGAGAATCCTTCCGGTGTGTCTAACCTTTGACTTTACAGCCCACCCACACAGTTCACACTCAAGAACCAGCAACTGGGCTACCAAAAAAAGAGAAAAAATTCCTGTTTTAATTAAGTCTGTTACTTGGTGTTGGCTGGCTGTCTTCAGTACTGTGAGGCTGCATCTCTCATCTGGCTGCAGGTTAAATACTCCTGCTAAACAACCTAGCTGCAGAGATTAACTGCAGCTCTCCAGTGAGCTGATGGCCCTTCACACAGAGAAGGCAGGAATCTGGGATAAGCAGACTCAAGGATGAGCCTCCCACACGTACTCAAAAGACCCACAGTGACTCTCCTGTCGGCTGTTTGAAGGACTAAGAAGACAAAGCTATAGTTATTTATATTTGATAAATATATTGGCAAAGATATGTGGAGGTAATTACTCAATTTCAAACCCAGGTTCTGCTTTTACTCTCGACAGTAACTTTTAAAATATTATAAATATCCCAATTATAGAATAATAATTCATTTCTAAGAGCATTTAAGTTTACTTTGTGGCAATAGCTGAATATTGGCCCCTGTTGAATAAAAAAAAAAAAAAAAAAAAAAAACACTTTGCTCTCTTGGTTTTGGCAGAAAACAAACTTAACTTTAAGTTTATTTTCAATCTAAATTATTAGTGTAAAAATGTTTTATTAACAAAAACATTTCATGTCTTATCTTATTCCACTATTTGTGTAGGGCCAGTTATCCTCCCAAGCTGTTCCCATGGGACACGCCCCTACATTAATGGCAAAGAGAATAATTCTTTAAGCACAGGATTTCCTGTTCAGTGGCTGCAAAATCACAAGGACCTTGATTTGGAATAACTTTGAGCCAAGTACTGAAAAGCAAGTAATAATAACAAATATTTGACAGACTCTAGATAAAAATGCAGGCCTAGCTACAAAATAATTTTCATTTATTTCAATTTGTTTTAAATGCATTCACTTATATTTCCTCAGTTCCACAGAATAAATGGCACATCACATTCGTTTTTAAGTGCGTGTTCCTCCTTTTCTTTTCTTTTCTTTCTTTCTTTCTTTCTTTCTTTCTTTCTTTCTTTCTTTCTTTCTCTCTCTCTTTCTCTCTCTTTCTCTTTCCTTCCTTCCTTCTTTCTTAAATATCAGGAACCAAATCTGGGGACTATTTTTCTCTTAGGCAAGTACAGTGCCATAGCTTGAGATAAATTCACAGTGCTTTAGGGTATATGTATTCATATTTTCTTTTCCTGACAGGCTAGTGCTCATGGTGGCCCCAAAGATCACATGTATCTAAGAGTTAGATACATGTGCTACTGGTTTTCCTGCCAATTAAGTGCTGAGATTGTGGTGAATATCACACATGTGTTTTATGTGTGCTGGGCTCAAACAGAGGCTCTGTGCATGCTGGGCAAGTTCTTTACTCAGTGGGCTACATCTTCAGCCACAGAGCATCTATTCGTAACCTAAGATAAGAAAATCTGGGCTCCGGGGACCCTGCAGAAGCTGATGAATCAACCAAGGACCATGCTTGGAGAAGACCTAGAACCCCTGCACAGATGTAGCCCATGGCAGCTCAGTCTCCAAATGGGTTCTCTAGTGAGGAGAGCAGGGGCTGTCTCTGACATGAACTCAGTGGCCGGCTCTTTGATCAGCTCCCTCTGAAGGGGGAGCAGCCTTACCAGGCCTCAGAGGAGGACAAGGCCAGTCCTGATGAGACCTGATAGGCTAGGGTCAGATAGTAGGAGAGGAAGACTTCCGCATGAGTGGACTAGGGGAGGGACATGGGAGAAAAAGGGAGGGAGAGTGGGACTGGGAGTAGATGAGAGAGGGGGTTGCAGTTGGGATACAAAGTGAATAAATTGTAATAAATGATAATAATAAAGAAAAAATTAAAAAAAGAAAATATAACCATTGACTAAGTCAACTGTAAGACCATATTGCATAGACTGTTCTTTTTCATTAAATTTTCTAGTTTACTTCTTTTTTTCTAGTTAACTCTTTTTTTCATAATGATATGAAAAACATGCTTAAGTTGAATATTAAAAGAATGATGTCACTTCTTAACTAGTAAACATTATGGTTTTCACAGATCTGAAACCAGTCTAGAAACACTAGAACAATCCCAATAAGTGGGTCCCAAGAGGCAAAATCCTTAAAAGGAAAGAACTACAATCACTTAACTAAACTTATGGATTAGGATTCTCCCAGGAAAACGCCAGGGACCCACTCCTGCCAGGAACAACATGAAGCTACTGTAGAAAGAAGCAGGCGGTGACTGTTTAAGGCAGTGAGAGTGTTAAAATTGTGAGCCCCAAACGCCAATCTGAACTTTCAGGTAATATGGCCGCCTTCTCAGCAAGGAGCCCCACCAACTTCAAGGACGCAATAAAGCAACTCAGATGAGAAATCCTTCCAGCCCTAGTACGTAGGAAGACACCACCAAACACGCTGTTCTATGGTTTATGTTCACAACAAGCTGCCGTAAAAATACGGCTCCTTTGTTGTTGTATTATTGCATTTTTTCCCTTTTTAAAATACTGCAAATCAGCTACCTTTAGGCCATTTCTAACAGAGGTGTCTTTCCTAGCCCTCTGCCCGTCATTTCCTGCCCTCCCCATCACCCTGGTGAGGCACCCTTCTCCCCTCAGTCACTCGTCATCTTTCGTGTCCCCCGTGTCCTTCATCCACTGCTCACCATTTCTCAGTTCCTGCTTTCACCCACTCATGGCCACCTGTCCCGCCTTTTAGGCTTGGCGATCCTTCTTACCCCTGGGTGTGTGCTGAGCCATCCAGCTGTCCTTCCAGAGCTCTCTTGACGCTTCCTCTATGGTTGCAGCAGTACATCCTAGTCTCCAGGTGCCACTGGTGTAAAGGTAGAAATCCGGACGTGAGCATAGTGGGAGCACAATTTGTGCCCACCTCCATTCCCTCTAGGAAAGCTAAAATGTCTTTGTTAAATATTCGCCAACAAATTTCCCCTTACTTCATACTTGTTTGAACCATCACATGGCTGTTTCTGGGTCTACAGGAATAAAGGAAATGGACTGACTGCCTAAAGAGAGTACTATTTCCCCGAGTGGCTCATAACACTGAAAGTCTGTGTAAATAAATGTTGGATTCTGTGAGCATTAAAAAGGGTGAGTCTCTGCAAAAGTGAAAAAATAAGCTACTAGTACATGCAATAACATATAATGTACCATGCCATGAGGAAGAAGCAGATTATTCTCCCTATAGTCTAAGGAGAATATTTCTGATACTACGTGTTTTTCATCTTGATGACAGTCAGTTCGTTACCTGCTACAAACTTCACAATAGTCATAAAACTTCACCTCTAAAAAATTGTATACTATATGTATGGCACTAAAAGAAACTAAAACGACAGAGGTTTTCTCTTGCAAAGTTGAGCCTCAGCATGCTGCAGCCCCCTACTCCTCCTTCTCCTTTGGACCCTACATGTATTCTGAAACTCTGTCTTGGGATCTAGAATGAAGTCTTTTGCTCAAAGACCCTCCCAGAAAAGTAGCCTCATCCTGGAAAATCGTGTCAGCAGAGACTAGTTAGTTTAGAAGACATCCAGGTGCTCCAGAAAGTTCCTGGACTCATCTTAGCGTTGGTGTCGGCCAAAATCTGTTTCCCATGGCCAGCAGCAAAGTACAGAGCCAGACTTGGCAGAGAACAGCCCCCTGGCTGCGCTCTCTGCACAGAGCCTTCAGAGTCCTGTGCGCCTGTGGGAGACGGCTCATTAATACAAAACGGCGATGCAATGTGCATGGCAGCAGCCGGACTTCAGCAAGAACCCCGAGCCTCACATAATTCTACTGCAGGGAAATCTCTTGCATAAAGCACTACCTTAATTCTAAGTTCTGAGCCCCTTTATGCCATTTCTATTATATTATTAATATTCTAGATCAAGAACACACAGAGCGTAACATACAGAGCGTTTTCCTGTGACACAGATGTCCCGGTGCCTGCGTTGGTCGATGGGACATCTCCTGTTGGTGTAAGGAATACCTCCTCACTGACCCCTTACACACTGGAGGACAGAGTGTCAGTGTGCTTCTGAAGAGCAGAGCCACTGGGCTGGTGCTGAAAAACCGTGCTGGCTAGACGAGAAACCTGCACAGTAAACACTGAGATCAGACCACAGTCACACAGGCTGTGTCCTTAACGTCAAGCATCTGTTTCCTTGTTTGTCTTGTTTTCATTTTTATTTTGGAAAAGCTGATAAGATGCTAGGCAGTCACAATAGTGAATCTGAACACAGTCCCAACTTTATCCCCTTTCAATCTCAAAACGCTTCAGCCAGCATTTGATTAAAATTTTTTTCTTTGTTACTTTATCCAGATAACTTAAAACTTTAGAGGAAAACGAGGGATGAGAAATAATGAGACCAAAATAATCTGAGTGAAATTTTTATTTTGAGACAGCTTTGAGAAAGTCGGTAGACATGTGAATGAAACAATGGACAGTCTCCCACGTCTACACCCAGAGTGGAAGCCCTGATTTGCTCCGGCGTCCACCCCGTCTCTACTCCTGCAAGGTCAGGTAGAAGGCACACAGTGGACTGCTTCGCCCTTAGAGGGGCAGCAGCTCCTCTTCCCAGCAGCTTTCCCCGGGAAGACTCCCACAGAACCCCGAGAAACAGTGGTTCTGCTGAGTAACCAATTCAAACTCTCCAAACAAAGCATCTCTATTAAAATAACTTGTTTGGCACATCATTACGGTTGTGCTATTATTAGTTTTAGCAAACAGATGTCTTCCTGGATAAAATCCAAGCCAGAAATGTTTTTTTTTTTTTTTCTGGCAAGTGAGTAACATGTTAAATTATACTTTTTTCCAGAACTAAGCAACTCTTTAGAAAAAACAAAACAAAACAAAAAAAAAACCCGCAAAGAGGTTAAAGAGCCATTTTGCAGACAAAACAACTTCAGAAAAATATTTAGTTTACTAATGTTACAAAAGCTGTTAATATTTATGCTTATGTTTTTATTTTAAAATAAAAATAATTTTAATTCAAAAGAAGATATGCAACCTTGCAATTCCATTTTGGAATCAAATGTTTCAAATGTTACACCTTTGTAACAGATGCCATTATACTCTAACTCTTTATAAAAGCTAAATGGTAAGTAGCAACTTTTTCAAAAGTTAGACAAATTATAATCACTTAACAGCATTTTTCCTTCCCTAAAAACGATGAATATGTTAGCATTCTTCCTAAAATGTGTGTACTATTGTCCAAAATTAAAACAGCTCCCAAAAAAATCATCATTTAAAGTGAATTAAACATGCTGCATCTTTCTGTCTCAATGCAAGAAAATTTCCTTTTCCATTTTTCCACATAAAAACACAGTCCAACATGTTTTCCAATGTAAAAGTAATTTTAACATTTTTGTTTGTAAAATTGCAGTTTTGTTTGTAAAAACATCAAGTGTTTGCAAAACTAAAAGAAGTGTAGAGTTTAAGTGCAGAGACTGGAATGTGTCCTTCTTTCGATAACAAAACATTCCAAAGTTTACATCAATACATGACTACCCATATTCATGTCATTTCCCATCACCGACAGCCACATGACCACATTCCAGCCTATAGAATACAAAGGAAAAATGAGAGCAAGTTTCAGATAATGTCCTTGAATGGAATTTTTTTTTTTTTAATTCTCTATTTTTTTTCTTTCCTCCCTCAGGGAGGAAAGGGAGCCTGTTCATCTTTAGTAGATGGAAAAGACAAAGGAGAAGAAACTTTAAATCCTGATTGATCTTAAAGAGGACAGCCATTTAAGTTCCATAAACTGTCTGCCTACATCTAGAAAGTGCTTAGAGAGGCAAGATAACCCCAGCCACTGTGTATTGTATTCTTTGTGTCTGCTTCATCTATGTGATGCATCAGGTCTCATGGCTCAGTTAATTCACGTATAGAGTGAAATGTTTTGGAAGTCACATTACTTAGACCATTAATCAAACTGGGAAGGATTTTTAATCTATTGTAGTTCAGCTATGGATACTTCTATCACCAATAGCTATGGTTTGGTAGGGTGCTGTTAAGATTATTTTTATATAACTGTGCTGTTTCTGTTTCTCTCTTAACCCTGATTTCACACAAATAATGGGGACTCTAGTATATCATTTTAACAAGCTTCACAGCACAAGAACTAAGCAATTTTAACTCTATTCTTAACCCTCTAAGCTAATTTGGCCTCCTCCCAGTGTGTCCCAGAGACACCTACACTTGGTAGCTTTTCTTGCTGACCTCTCCCTCCTGGTCTCTCCTGGACATCCCCCTGTGGCTGAATCCCCTACTTCCTCTTCTAACTCCTCCTCCCCTGGCTGGCAAGAAGTCCATCCCTATTTTCTCTCCCACTCAGTGATTGGTTGTAAGCTGCTTTACTGGCATATCAGAGGCAACTGGGGAACAGTGTTTACACAAAACTGAGAACAGGAGATTTTCAGAGCAAGGATTGCAGCCAGATATAGGGGATATGGAAATCAGCATTTGAAGTACACAATAACTTTTCACCTACAGGCTGCACTCCATAATTCATGTTGAATCTTAATAACCAAATAACATAGCAGTCAAAGGTACAGGCCTCAGGAGGTGACCTGTTCATAAACTCCACTCTGGTGACCAGGGCTAGCATCTTATAAGGATGTTCAAGGATGAAAAAATCATGCACTTGCAATTTTTACAACCTCAGATTTAAGACTGTTTTCTTGTGCTCCAGGTGTGGTAGTACCCTCAGGGCTCACTGTGGCAGGATAGCTGGGTTCTGGTGGTTCATATGGCTCTGGATTTTGTTGTTGTGTTCTTATGCTGACCTCTAGCCATCTGGCTGTCTCTGGTTTTAGCAGGCCTGGTATACCGTCTCTGATGGTAGTAGGTCTCTGGGGTTGTAGGTAGAGCTCATGGTCCCAGAGGGCCAAAGACCTCTGGTTTTCCTGCTGCCCCCTGATCTATGCTGGTCTCTGGGAACTGCAGTGTAGGGCACACAGGGGGAGAGGAGCACAGAGGGCCCTGGGTAGACCTCACCACAGCTACTGGTGGGCTGTGGACAGTAGATGGGGAAGAAGCTCAGCTGCTGCTCCCTGATCTGTGCTGGACTCCAGGGTTGCACTCAGGGTGGATCCTGGGAAATAAATCACTGGATAATTTTTTAGTGAGGATTATTTTGGTTTTGAATCAGTAGGATTAACATAGTAAAAAATGGCCATTCTGCCAAATGATATGCCAGATTCAATGCAATTCCCATCAAAATTTCAACACAATTCTTCATAGACCTGGAAATAGAAACCATTAACTTCATATGGAAAAATAAAAGACCCAAGATAGCCAAAATACTTCTATACAATAAAAGAACTTCTATTGGTATCAACATCTCTGTTTTCAAGCTATACTACAGAAAAAAGTAATAAAAACTGCATGGTGTTGGCCTGAAAACAGACAGGTTGATTGATGAAACTGAACTGAAGACCCAAAAATAAACCCACACTCCTATGGGCACATGATTTTTGACAAAGAAGACAAAACCGTACAATGGAAAAAAAGAAAGCATCAACAAATGGTGCTGGTCTAACTGGATGTCTGCATGTGGAAAAATACAAATAGACCCATATTTATCACAAATATGTACAAAACTCAAGTCCAAGTGGATCAAAGACCTTGACATAAAACCAGACACACTAAATCTATTAAAAACAAAGTGGAGGGAAGTCTGGAACTCATTGGCACAGGAGACAATTTCCTGAACCGAATACCAACAGCACAGGCTCTGAGATCAACAATTAATAAATGGGACCTCATGAAACTGAAAGCTTCTATAAGTCAGAGGACACCATCATCAGAACCAAATGACAGCCTACATATTGGGA